TTCTTTATAGTTGATATTATTCACAATTCTGTTCTTTTACGAAATTATTTTATGCCCGTCCTCATAATCAAAAGCAAAGAAGTCATAAAAATAATCAAAAGACAAATCCACCAAGCTGAAGAGGTGCGTGGCAGATATAGATACGTGTAAGCACGCATATACTTTGGCAGGACAGTTCACACGCACGCTCGATATCCTCGCAAGGTCGAGCGCGCTACATTGCCACATTACAAGAAAGCTCCCTTTTTTTCTTTCAAAACGTATTCCCCGGACAAACAAAGAGAGAGAGTAGCACAGAAAACATTGGAACGAGTTACGGTTTGCGTTGTATCCTCAAGGATGTCTTGTGTCTTAAATGCGGAGCGGACTCGACTAAGAGGACTCTTGCCTCTCCGAGAAGAAACGGGAAAAAAAGAGGAATTCCTTTATAAGTGCATTCTGCTTTATTCGACTGATTTTTTTCAGGTAGGCTGGATGAACACACATTTCATCGTAATGAGATTTTTGAGACTTATGCTCGGGAATTGCAGCGAAAAGTCAGGAGTCAAGCTGTGAAACGCTTTCGAATGCCTCGTGTGTGATCCACGCGTGCATTAGGCCGTTACCACGCGCCACGAGTTCAAGCGCGATCGTGGACTCTTGCGAGAGGGCTGCGCTAAGTGTTTCTATACTTCTAAGTTCACTGAAGACATATCCTGAAAAATTGTTTGAAAAATACAAATTTTTTGCACCAAATCTCCGTACTTAGAAGTATAGAGGCGCATAGAGCATCGCTCTCGTAAGAGTCCAAGATCACCCTTGAATGTGTGGCGCGCGCTTACAGACTGATGAGCGCGTGGATGACAAGCGAGACATTCGAGGGCTTTTCTCAGCGCGACTCCTGTCGTGTTGCCACATTTCCCTGACACAAGTCTCAAAATTCCATCACAGAGACAAAGGAATCACTGAAAAACAGCTACAGACTAAAGTGCTTCATCAATCGCCAAACGTTCTTTATGACAGCCGTAAAGGCAGTGAAATGGGTGATCATGTAACCAATCCTTTGTGACTGATAAAAGCAACACTTCCTCTTGAATTCATTCCTTAGAAGAGTTTGAGGAACTTACTATTCCTTCCTGT